AAAAAAGAAAGAAAGAAAATTGTGATTGCATGGAGAACTGGGAGAGAGAAAAGATGTTCTACAAACCGCATCTACATGAGGCCCAGGCAATGCAAGAAGCCTCCTGGAGGGCATATCGTTGTTGAAAATGTGAGGAGACATTGCCCTGTCTTCGAAATGAATAAGTTCAGGGGAGAAGGCTACGTCTTCAACTATAACCATTGAATGTCTGTCTCAGGAGGAGACTGGACCTACTCTGAGAGCTCCCCTGTTTGTTTGTTTGTTTGTTTGTTTGTTTGTTTGTTTGTTTGTTTGTTTTACTTGGGGAGGGGGTTAGTTAGTTTGTTTGTTTGTTTTTCCACTGTAGTTTCTTGAGACACTTGGAATTTACTGCACAGGAAATGTGGTTTGTTTTTGTTTTTAATTCAGAAAGAGCACACTGCCTTTCCACTCAATAAGAACTGTGACTCAGAGACAAGATGGTAAATTAGAAAAATAGGAAGGTGACATTTCCATCGATGATTAACAAGCTCACTCCCACTCATAGTTGAATTAGATTTCCTTCCTCGGATTTGAATAAGAATGAAAATGGGGAGCGAGATGATCCCTGGGAGTCCTGGGCATTGTACTCCTTTTGTTGTGAACAAGATTTCCGGTTTCTGCAGTCCAGAACCCTACGTAACTGTGAGGGCATCTTTTGAGTTCCGTTTGCAATGGTCCTCTACAATCACAGTCTTGCTTCCCTGGAATTTATAGGACCACTCATTGAGTTTGTTTCTGAAATATTGCTTTCTCTGTTTGTACTAGTATTAAAATGAATTTGGCATTAGAAACTCCATAAAAAATAGCATTCTACTTTCCAGCTACAGTGTCCCCAAAGACACAGAGTGCTTCCTGCCTCCTGAGTCAGGTGACTTCAGTAGGAACAAGCAGAAGGTCTTACCCCTAACCAAGAAGTTGAATTTTGGTGGTCCCTGTAATGCCTGGGTTGCTAGCACACACTTTGTGTGTGTTAATTCCAAAAGCGGTGTATTTGCCTTTGAGGATTAGTAATCAGTTTCTGTCCTTTTAACAATCAATGTCTCTGCAGTTCAAACTCCTGCTCAGTGAAAATTTGATTTTAAAAAAAGGCAAGAATTTCCTTGCCAAGTTTTCAGACCATAACTAGTATCCGAGCATCACCTACATTTTTTCCGAGCTATAGCCTGACTCCAGCTGCCCTTTTCATCAGGAAACAGCCTGATGTTGGCAGAAATGGTATTTCAACATACGCCGGAACCTGAACAAACACTGTTGTTTCTGTCACACTGCCAATTCTATGCCAGCTTCTAGCAAAACACAAGCAAACACACAAAACTCAGCATCAGGTTGGCGTGCTGCAATCCTGCGATTGAAGATGTGGCCCAAGCAGCCACAGCCAAGTTGGCCTCTGCTGTGCATTTGCCCCAGGCACTTGAGAGAACTCTCTGCTCCTGGTGTGACTGCACTCATCCTCCCTGGGGCTGCCCTTCTGCTGTTTCCTTCTTCCCTTTGTTCTGTTCCACCTGGTCCATGTATGGGGTCCACATTGATGCCCTGAAGTTCATCAAGGGCCGCAGAAGGAACTGTTCTCTGTTGTTTACTCTGCTCCTCTTTGTCTTCTTTCTTACTCTAGGTCAACAGGTTCTTGTGTCTGCCCTTGTCTTCAGGGCACCACAGCCACGGGCTGTAGAGATAACTGTTAGATACGGATGGTGGTTGGTAAGACAGGTGCTGAGATGGATTTCAGGCAAATGTGTTTTTGATAACGGTGGCCACCACAACAGGGAATCCATCTCAGGATGGTTTAGAAGGACGAGTAAAAGGATCACAAAGAAGTTTTTACTTTTACAAGTTTCCCAAGGGATTCGGTGTTCTAAGATGCATGACTTTACTATCAGAAATGAGGTTGTAACTCAGGGGTGTGGTGAGCATCAGGGCTGTGCCTGCCTGCAGAGACAGAGATAAAGAAGGAATATTTATTTACTTTACACTGTTATTATATCTAGAGAGACAGAGACCCAAGCATTAGGGAAGGTGTGGCTACCTTGTCTTACAGTGACCCTGTGAAGAGCAGCAGGTTATGACCTAATATTCCCTGCATTGGTTACAGTATATGAAGAGCTCCACAGGACAGAAGGCAAAGGGATGTAGGGGTCCACAGATAGGGACATTCCCCCTGATCTAGCTTCTTCCAGCTGGACTGCCATGCTGTGGGGACTTGTCTCCCTCCTCACCTTCATCCTGTGCTCATCGGATACTGGTGCTTGTGACAGAGGCTGGAATCTGTACTCCTGCATTAGGAGACTATACACAAGAGTCCAAATAACCTGTTAAACAGTATTCTAGATTAATTGGATCAGTATGTAGATTAGACTGAGGCCTTAGATCTAAGAATCAAAGTGTTTATTAAAGGAAGAACCATAGGTATAAGCCAGGAGATCCACTTAGAGTTTTGAAGCCTCCTGTCCAGTGACGCTGATGCCTGTTTTCTGATTCTGATTCTTAAAGCACAGTTACCTTTTGATTCTCTTACCTGACTGGACTGGCAGGACTACTCCCACCCCGTTATGGGAAATATAGCATCTAAAGTATTTATCTAGAAGCTACACAGAGCTAGGCATGCCTGGTACCCAGACATCAGGTTGAGGGAGGCCCAAGGGACACATCATCCTCCTTGTCCTCACAGCAGTTATGGGAAGTTCATCATGCTGACTGAAACACGATTCATGGTGTGGTGACCTCTACAGAAAGAGTGGCAGGATTTATGGGAGGCAAACATGTGGTAATCCTGGGAGGGAGGTACCCCTAAACCTAGGGTATAAGCAGCCTGTGTTTCATGCTACATCTTGGCCCAGAACCCAACCACCTTTAATGTCACTTTTACACTATTTTCCATCAAATCTTTGAGTATGTTTGTGCTCAGGATACAATTTAAACCATTTTCCCGTCTCCCTTTCCCTCACAGACTGGCATGGAGAACCAATTGTCAAAGCCAAGATCTCACCCAGTGTGTTCGGAACTGTGATGGGTAACCAGTGTGCGTTTCCACTTCACCTCATTCTGCCCCTTTCTCGTTCTAGAGGTAGTTAGGGGAAAGGTCACACTTCCTTAGTTTCCCCTTCAAACAAGCAGGCTTTGAACAGAAACAGGAGCAAAATGAAAACGCTTTCCAAAGAGGCTTCGTGCTGGCTACTGTGTTCACTGGTTTATGCAAATCCTTCATTTTTTGGTTAGTCAATGCGACAGATGCTGGTGACAGTAATCTAAGACTTGATTGTCACACACATCTCTATACTTGAGTTCTTCACCTATGATGTCATTCACATTAGGTTTCATCAGAATTAATCTTCCTTTCCCCCAGTTAGATACACATATAACAAATATTTAAGGACAGTTGATCTTGGGTAAAATGTCAGCTGTGTGAGCTCCTGGGCCTTGTGTGTGGGCTCAGCACCCAGACAGTAAGAACAGCCACTGTGTGAGGCTAGGTGGGTTTTTAGTGAACAGAACTCTGGGTGGATAAACTGAGACTGCCTCAACTCAGAAACCTGTAATGAAATGTGTGACCTTTCAAAAATATTTTCTTAGATTTGACCACTTATATTGCCAATTCTTAACTCTTGTGTCAGTCTGTAAGCCTGAAGAGAATGTTCCCATCTGATCAAGAGGTATTCAGGACTGACTAGTGACTGTGCTAGCCCGTAACTTTCTTAGCCTAGCTTCATGCATTTTAACTAACTCTGAATCAAATGACCTTGTACCAGCAATAGTAAGGGTGTTGAGAAAACTACAAATAACCATTAAATGATTTCATTGCACGACTCATCTTTGTATACTCTCACATGCTCTCTCTGGGGAAATGTTTATATATTGGAAAAATCTACATGGCACTCTTAATAGGGGATACATGCTCATCAGAGCATTATTTGGGGGCTGAAGGTCAAAAAAATGACACAAAGACTCGATACACAGAGCTCTGAATTAAACTGTTACTCTAGCTGTGGACAGAAAGCTTACAGGACTTTAAAGTCACTGTTTCTTTTATCAAATGATGACCTGTATATTGGTTTTCTATTCCTTTGATTATGCTCAGAAAGGGCTTAAATAAGTAACTTAAAAAAAAAAAACCGGGGGCTGGAGAGATGGCTCAGAGGTTAAGAGCATTGCCTGCTCTTCCAAAGGTCCTGAGTTCAATTCCCAGCAACCACATGGTGGCTCACAACCATCTGTAATGGGGTCTGGTGCCCTCTTCTGGCCTGTGGGCATACACACAGACAGAATATTGTATACATAATAATAAATATTTAAAAAAAAAAAACCTGGTTGCTGTGCATGGTAGCACATAGGTTTAACCCAGCACATAGGAGGCAGAACAGTTCAAGTACACTCTAATAACAATTTACAAACCAGTCAGGTCTACACAGTGAGACATTCCCTCACAGAAAAAAAAAAACAATACAGTAGTTTGCAAGAATATAAAATTTATAATACTATCAAGAAAGTCTACAAAAGGAAATGGATTAAACAAAGATATATAATGATAAATACTAAGAGATCATTTATGTGGGCAGGTCTATGTGAAATAGTTTGAAGTGAAAAACACAATAGAAAATGGTAAATACACAAAAAAACAATTAAAATTTAAAAGACATATGATTTATAGTCACACCTTATTTTAAGCAGTAAAGCGTAACCGCTTTTCTCTTTATATTGGTCATATTCAAGATAAAATTCCTGTTTAGGAAGAATGCAATCTGGTTCTCTGTGAGCCAAGTCTTTACACAGTCTCATTTCATCATTATCTATAGGTCAGAACATCTCTGTTCAAACACTGGGAGAAAATAAAAAATGATTTGCAAGTTTGTGAATCAATAAGAACTTCCTGCTTTGTACAAAGTTCACAGGGAAGATCCCCCAAACCACTAGAGGATGAAGGGAGTTAAAAGACGCTTAAATACTGGTGTCAGTTTGCTCCAGGCAGCTGCTGAGTTGATTTCCAGGCAAAATGAAGGCTCTCCTTGCCCTAGGGCTCCTCTTGCTTTCTGTCACTGTCAACGCGAAGGTCTTTAAACGCTGCGCGTTAGCCAAACTTCTGAAACAAGACGGAATGGATGGCTACAAGGGAGTCAGCCTGGCAGACTGTAAGTCTCTTCTCAGACAAACAACCCCTGCAGAACATATAAGAAAGCGATGAGTGAGCAGAGCAGGACCCAGAGTCAATAAGCTTGTCGGATTGCCATGTGCTTGGCTTGGTTTGATTGAAAACAGCAGCATTTGTCTTTATCATCACAGACACTGGGTGAGGAGAGCATGGGAGGGGACATCTGTGCCAGGCTAAGGCAATAATAGAACCTGAGGCGCTCTTAGAGCGTCACTGGGTTTTCAGGTTGCTTCAGACTCGACAGTCCACAGGGGCTGAGAATACAAGGGAGGACTCAGAGCTGGAGTGACTGACATTTGTCTTCATGTCTTTCACTATGGTATGGAGAGTTTTAGAGAAATGTTTCCAAGCTTTTTGAACTTCCTCTGTAGGGCAGAGGGATCCGATTTCCCCTAGAGGCTGCTGAAATGATGTCGGACACTGTGGACGCAATGATTTAGTGTGTTCTTCACTCTGAGATGGCCTTTCATCCTACACAGTGGAGGACATGGATGAAGAAGAGTTGTTCGTGGCTTACTCCCATGATCACATTATAACTAGTGTGGTTTGCAGATTAGATTAAGACAGTTAGTACTCAATAACTAATTGTCCATGAACAAGTGATCCGAGAGACGCACGTGTGGATGAATGGAAGATTTGATGAATGAATGGATGGGTGGATGGATGAATATTGGATACATGGTTGGGTAGATGTCTGGGTGGATTGATGGAGGTATGACTTGATTGGATTGCAGAATAGCCTTTTCTATTCTAATTGCTTTCAATATTCTCATCAGCCATTTGTGAGGCTACACACTCATGGAATTCAAGCAATGGGATGCTGAGGCAGGAGATTGCATGTTCTGTGCAAATCTAGGATACTTAGTGTCACAGAGAAAGAAAAAAGAATTCTAATTTAACATGCAAATTCATTTTGGTTATTAGAGCATTATCTTAGGAAATCCTTAGTTTTCTCATAGGAAATATTCTATTAGCATATGTATTTGATATTAATTTATCAAATTCACCTAATTATTCTTCATGAGTCTATTTCTGGCAGAGGGGTTTCGAGTATAGATGGAAGGAGGAGAAACAGTGGAAGAAATGGCTATTTTATTTTCTGAAGCAGGGGGAATGGTTTCATTCTATAGCACTGTTTGGCCTAGAACTCGCTATGTAAAGCAGGCTGTCTCAAATCCATACAGAGTCACCAGCCTCTACCTAACCACTGCTGGGAATATAATTGTGTACCACTGTGTCTGTTTCATATAATCAAATATTTTGAAAGGACCTTATCCTGTTTATTCTCAGTGTAAATCGATTTGTCTTCAACTAGATTCTGTTCGGAGCACTTGAAATTTTTCACTGGCGGACAAGGGACAACAGTTCTACCTACTTGAAAGGCAGAGGCAGGAGGATCATTGAGACCAGGGACTTCCCTGAGGAACACAGCCAGACCTGATCTGAACTTGTAGTATCATATTTTATATTTTAATCATATGTTTGTAGTTATAAATAAATCACTTGTAAAACACAGCAAGAGAAGAAGCTAATTTGGTATCCAGTGTAAATCATTTGGTGTCGCCGCTTACTGATGAATATTCTTTTCTTTCTAGGGTTGTGTTTGGCTCATCATGAGAGCAATTTTAACACAAAGGCTACAAACTACAACTCTGGAGGCCAAAGCACCGACTACGGGATATTTCAGATCAATAGCCGATACTGGTGCAATGATGGCAAAACCCCGAAAGCAGTGAACGCCTGTGGGATATCCTGCAGCGGTAAGACAGGGCAGGATTAGTTCAGAGAGCAAACAAGTCACCTGCTCCTAGTGCAGGAGACAGCACTGAAGGTACACCAGGAACCTGGGCAGACTGTCCTGACTGCTAGAAAGTCGTTGTCATTCACATCAAAATTAGCCAGGAAGACAGTAGACTTAGAGCATAGTGTGCTGATAGAATGCCCTGCCTACCAGCCAGAGGGCCTGGGTTCCACCTCAAAATCCCTGAATTACAAACCAAATAGTGCCTGGGAAGAGAGCTCAGACAGGAGTCCCCTAAACCAAAATTTGACCCTCAGCATCCACAAAAATTTTGGTGAAATTCACTTTTTTTGTAATAAAATCATTGTATTTGTATTTTTTTATTGAATTTATTGAGCTATTAATTTTCTCTGCTCCCCTCTCTCCCTCTCCCCTCCCCTTCTCCCCTCTCCCATTATCCTCATGCTCCCAATTTGCTCAGGAGAACTTGTCTTTTTCTACTTCCCATTAGATACATGTATGTCTCTCTTAGAGTCTTCTTTAGTGTCTAGGTTCGCTGGGATTGTGAACTGCAGGATGTTTTTTGTTTGTTTGTTTGCTTTGGGTTTTTTTTTTTTGCTTGATGTCTAAAAGCCACTTATGAATAAGTACATATGATATTTGTCTTTCTGGGTCTCGATTACCTTACTCAATATGATGTTTCCTAGATCTATTCATTTGCCTTCAAATTTAAAGATGTCTTTTTTTTTTTTTCTGAGTGTCATGTATTTGTAAGACCAGGCCTGCATAGTCAAAGACAGGCAGATCCGTGTGGCTCCCTGGCCAACCAGCATAGCCTAATCTGTAAGCCAGTTCCAATGGCAGACCTTATCTAAGAAACAATAGGGACTGCTTCTAAGGAACAGGTCCTGTACCTGTCCTCTGAATTCTACATAATAATAGACACATGTACAGGTTCGTAGGTACACATACCACCAGACACAGAGACATACATATTAAAATAGTAGAAAAATCAAAAAATAAATAGCGGGTATCATTAAAACTTGATGTTTTCATTAAAAATATACTCGCATGCACTTACTCATACACATAATTAAAATTAATAAAAGCAAATATTTGCAACAAATTGTCATTTTATAGCATGAATTTTATAGCATGCATATATATATATATATATATATATATATCTGCAAAGACTAATTGTAAGTGGCCTTATTGGTGTTTTGTTCTGAAGATTTCCATTCTAACAGTTTATTTATGGCTAGTTATGGATATTGTTGTAAGGGCGTTTTAACCTAATAGATTTTTATTATAAAGATTTCTAGCATATAGGAATGAAGATATTACTATCATAAAGCTCATATGACAGGGTACCATTAAGTCCTGGAATTTTTTTCCAGCTGGCTCCTTTTTGTATGTATTGATGTGCTCCTCATGTTGAGAGATCTTAGAGTGAATTACTAGTACCAGATTTTGTTTTAAAATGCTTTAGTTTGCATATTCAAACAATTAACTCCTATATGGACATTATCTCATCTAACAAAATAACATAGATTTGTGTATTTAAGAAGAAACATGTTATCAACAAGAAATGGGGCACACAGGATGGAGGCTTGGGATGGAAGAACTTGAATTCATACCATGGTGGAAGTAATGTGCAATTTCTGTGCATGAATTTAATCAGCCAATGTCGTTCTATTTTTCCAGTGTTGGAAGTAAACCCAAGACTTGGTACATTTTAGCCAGGCACTAACCAGTGAACTATTAATTCCTATTCTGCTAAATTTGGTTGTTAAAATTTTCAAGGGAAATACATGGTGGAATATTTTTGTCATCTCCTTAGCCTATCTGCAAAAGTGCTTTGTAGACTCATCACAGTCATTGAAATGGATTAGAATCCACGGAGATAGAGGAATATCACTCCTGGTTTGCCTATTTAGAGAGTTCATATACCTGGAAACCTCTAGAAAATACTCTTCTAGATTATACATCTATTCTGTAGGTTCGTGTAGAGATATATAACGTACATATGTACTCACATAGAAACATGTAAAGATTTGCTGTTTATACACAAATTATATTTGCATAAGTTCGAGAGATGTTATTTCTCAAAACTACGTTCATAGTAAGAAATATTAACCTGAATTCTCATTTTAAAGAGTGACTAAATTTGCAGTACAAATATTCTCTATGTTAAAAACATTGCAAATAAGTATAGAAATTTTTTTAAATTATTTATTATGTTTACAGTGTTCTACCTGCATGCCAGAAGAAGTCAGAGGATCTTATTATAGATGGTTATGAGACTACATATGGTTGCTGGGAATGGAACTCACAATTCTCACCCAGTGCTCTTCAGCCTGAGTTTGCTGTACAGCATCAGGTCTGGAGTGTCAGAGCACCTGGCTCTGTTTATTTTGCTGGTATAAATTACTAGGGGGCTGGAGAGATGGCTCAGCGGTTAAGAGCATTGCCTGCTCTTCCAAAGGTCCTGAGTTCAATTCCCAGCAACCACATGGTGGCTCACAACCATCTATAATGAGGTCTGGTGCCCTCTTCTGGCCTGCAGGGATACACATAGACAGAATACTATAATAAAATAAATACATAAATAAAAATAAATTACTAGGAAGAACTTTATTCACCCAAAGCTTGTGCATTGTTTGCATTCATAAAGTATTATTTATCTTTATGTGTGTGGGTGTTTTGCCTGCACATAGGATTGCTTGTGTGCCTGGTACCTGTGGAAGTCAGAAGAGGGTTTCCATCTAATGGAACTGGCATTACAGACACTAAAGAGCCACCATGTGGATGGTGGGAATCAAGTCGTCTGGAAGAGCATCCAATGCTCTTAGTCACTGAGCCATCTGTGCGGTATCTGTTTTCTTAGGATGAATTTTCCAATGGTAGACCCAGGTGACTGTTATTAGCATGTTCTAATTTCCAGTGTGAGAAGGAAGAGGAACTTCCCCCATGGTAGCTGACAGTCACACAGCCTCCAGTAACTCCTCGTTACTTCAGTGTGCTCTCTACTTTTTATCAGTGATGCAATATTAAGAACACTCTACTTTCAAGTCTATTCCATCACCCAGGGTCTTGAGAAATGAGAAATAAAATGACTTATACCATGTCAAGTGGATGGAAACAAGAGACACTCTCTCCAGTAATCACAGATGCATGGACAGCTGTGAAGAAATTTCTTGTATTCTCTGCTCAGTGTCACAGAGGAAAGCTGCCTGGATCTGAACTAAATGCTTCTCTAACCATCCTTGTCGTTTCTGACCCATGTCTTTCAGCTTTGCTCCAGGATAACATCACTCAAGCCATCAAGTGTGCAAAGAGGGTTGTGAGGGACCCACAAGGCATTAGAGCATGGTATGTGGGAACTTGGGAAGGGGAAACTGTGGGTTCTGTTGTTCTATGCATTGAGCTTTAATGAGGCCCAAGTGTCATTCTGAGCCCTGCAGGCACAGCTGGGACCTTTCTCTACATCGTTAGTTTTAGGGGATTTCCCTGAATTCTGAGAATCCTATACATGAATACTTTCTTCTCAGTCCTCCATACTATTTGTAGAATGAGCTACTGTTCTGTTCCTGAGACATCCCATTGACAGTGAGCATCTTGTGCTCTGCTCAGGTTAGGGAGGAATAAACTGCCCTGCAGACACAGCTCCATCTTCAGTAGCCATTTCTGCCTGCAGCTGTAGCTGTGTTCCACACTAGATCTTGGCCCAGAAACAATCACCATTAGTGTCACTTGATGAGGGAGTGATTTCTTATTAATAAAGAAACTGCCTTAGCCCATTTGATAGGCCAACCCTTAGGTAGGCAGAGAAAACAGAACAGAATGCTGGGGAAAAGAAGCTGAGTCAGAAGTTCAGACAGACACAGGTTAAGATCTTCTCTGCTAAGCCACCTCGTGGGCTACACAGATTATAAGAAATGGATTAGATTAATATGTAAGAGCTAGCCAATAAGAGGCTACAGATAACGGGCCAGGCAGTGTTTAAAAGAATACAGTTTCCGTGTAATTATTTCGGGCATAAGCTAGCCATGCGTGCGGCCGGGTGCCGGGGACGCAGCCTCGCCGCTCCTATCACTACAGTCACTGGTACACTGCTTCTCCCCAAGGTTAGAGAACGTGTGTGACAGAGGAGGGAAGTTTAACCATTTCTCCCCTGTCCCATTTCCTCCACAGGGTGGCATGGAAAACCCACTGTCAACACCAAGATCTCTCCAAGTACGTCAAGAACTGTGGAGTCTAACCGCTGTGCGTTTCCACTTCAGCTCATCCTGTCTCTTTCTCGCTCTAGCAGTAGTTATGGGAAAGGTCACACTTCCTTGGTGTCCCCTTAAAACAGTCAGGATAAACCAGGAACAGGAGAAAAATGGAGCCTGTTTCCTAAGTGGCTGACTGCTACCTTACGTGCTCATTGCTTTAAGGAAAACCTCCATCTTTTGGGTAGCTGATGCAGCAGATGCTGGTCACACTGGTCAAAGACTTTATCATCACACACATCTCTATGTTCTTCACCTTATGATACCATTCACATTAAATTTCACTGGAATTAATCTCTATCTCTTCCTTGTTGGATACACAGACAACAAATATTTAAGGAGATAAGTTGATATTGTGGCAAAGGGCAGCTATGTGAGCTGCAAGGCCTCGTGTGTGGGTCCAGCACCTAGACAGTTAGAACACTGCTGTGTGGGGCACGTTTGACTTTTAAGGGAATGGAACTGGCAGTTCATAGATCTGAATCTGCCTCAGCTTGGAAACTTGTTGCCAAGAAATGTGTGACCTTTCCAAAAAGTATAGAGCTGTCCCATTTATACCACTTAAAATATAAATTCTTAACTCATAGTCAGGCTGTTTTAATCCTTAGGAGAACCCTCACGTGCTGATCATGAGGTATTCCAGAGAGATGGGTGACTGTGGTAGCCCTTGAATTTCTTCAAATAGCTTCGTGCATATTAACTCTGAGACAGATGAGCTTGTATCAGCAAATCTAAGTGCATTGTGAAAAACTTCAAATACCATTAAATGATTTTTGATGCAAATCTTATATGTGCTTACTCTTATATGTGGTCTCTGGGTGAAAATTGTTCATCTATTGGGAAAATCAACTAGGTATTCTCTTTTCTTTTTTTTAAACCAGGCTGGCCTTCAACTCATAGAGATCTGCCTGCCTCTGCTGGGGGGATTAAAGGCGTGAGCCACCACCACCCGGCTTCAACTAGGTTTCTTAATATGGCATACTTACTCACGTACATTTAGCCAGAAGCTACATCCTAACCTACACATAGCCATTGGCTACATCCTCATCTACACAGATCCTGTGCCCACACTCCCATCTACATGCAACCCGCTGAATATTACCGGTGTAATATTCAAAAGTAAACAGACCAAGGTCCCTTGTCCCTAATAGACCCTTGACACAGTTATTCCCACAACATGGCATCCTCCAGTCATGCAGACATGAAGACGTTGCTACAGTGACAGACAGATCCCTGTGTGCAGGTTTTTTTTTTTCTTTTTTCGAGACAGGGTTTCTCTGTGGTTTTTGGAGCCTGTCCTGGAACTAGCTCTTGTAGACCAGGCTGGTCTCGAATTCACAGAGATCCACCTGCCTCTGCCTCCCAAGTGCTGGGATTAAAGGCGTGCGCCACCACTGCCCTAATATTCCTTCTTTAATCTCTGAGTGTGTTTTTTTTTTAAGATTTATTTATTTATTTATACCGTATCCTGCCTGTAGGTCAGAAGAGGGCACCAGATCTCATTATAGGTGGTTGTGAGCCACCACGTGGTTTCTGGGAATTGAACTCAGAACCTCTGGAAGAGCAGTCAGTGCTCTTAACCACTGAGCCATCTCTCCAGCCCCCTGTGTGTTTTTCTAGCATTTGCTGCCATCACTTCCTTTCTATTTGTCCCTCTCACTCTCTGTATCTCACCAGGGTTTTTTTGAAGCATTTTAAAGTGCATGAGAAGCATCATAGTTTATTTTTAAATTCTTTATTTCAGCCTCGAAAGCTACAATGTTTTTCTTTTATTTTATTTATTTATTTTCATTTTTAATTTATTTATTTATTAAAGATTTCTGCCTCCTCCCCGCCACCGCCTCCCATTTCCCTCCCCCTCCCTACAATGTTTTTCTTCTACTTATTTTTTCCATTTTGTTCTCTGTGTAAGAATTTCTTCCCCCCCACATTTATGCACCACATGCATCAGTGCCCTTAAGAGCCACAAGAGGGCACCAGATCCCCTGTGAACGAGGAGCAGATGAGTGTAAACTGCTGTGTTCAGAAGGAACCTGGGTCCTCTGCTAGAGCAGACATCTTACATGCGCTCTCAGGAAATTCTTTCTCAGTAATTCCCCTCGGTCTAACAGAACAAAGCTGGCTAGATCTGAGCAGATTCTGTGGCCGTCCCTTTGTCCCTCGCTCCTGTCTTTCACCTTCACTGTAAACGACACCTCTCAAGTCATAGCCAGTGCAGACTCTTCTGAGGGAGTGGTTTAAGTTTTAAGAAGGAAAATTTGTCCCCTTATTACAGTTACATGCAGTAGATCACTTCATCCTTTAACAAACTGTTTTTGGCAACTCTTTAGAATCTTATCTTTTACTTTGTCCTTGTTTTAAGCTTATCCAAGGCTTTAATATCCATTCAGTTAATAGAAATATGGGTCTAACTCCAGACCATACTATATTCTATGAAATACTTGGTTTTTCCTAATCATTTGAAGTGTTTGTACTATAAAGAGGATTGGAAGGGGTGCTAAGAAATGCTATCTTCTGGATATAACATGGCAGTTGGACCAATAAATTCTCAGCAGCAATGGCTTTCTGCTAGTTCCATTAGCATTTCAACCTGGCTGAGGGAGGAGTGTATGAGACCCCACCCCTCCCAGAGGAGCTATCAGCAGTTAATGGTGCTGAGGGTGGGAGGGAGAGAGGAGTTCCATTCCTCAGTGGTTTAGTCACTGGTAATCTCCCTTGCTCAAGAGATTAACACTCACCCAAGGAAGTGTAAGCAACACTCACTTATACTGCAGACACACATAAATAAAAGTCCTTAAGTGAGAAGAGGTATGAGGAGGAGGAGTTCAGAGGGAACAGGAAGGGGATAGGAGAAGATATTGGGGAGGAATAAGAACAAAGTACATTGTATGTGTGCATAAAACTGTGGAAGGCTAAGTAAGTTTAAAGAACCCCATTGCCTCATACACTGAACGAAAAGAACAATGCTACATAATGTTCTTCCCTCCATGTTACCAAAACTATTGGTAACATCCCTGGGCTGCTGCTATTTTCTTTTTGATTTGATTGAAGGGCTTTAGCTCTTGTTAAAGGTGATGTCTCCACATGCATTTGGAATCCCAGCACACTCAATGCTCCAAACTGTTTGTCCTCTTTGCTACATCACATCTATCGTGGTACCTAATAACCCAGGGACCTGTCATCCAAAAACAGACAAAGTTCTGCAACAAGTTCATCTTCTGTTCCTACTAGTACAGGATGTGTGTGTGTGAAAGATCTGAACATGATCATCTGCTATATTCTCACCTCCTGTCTCAGTCAGTGTTCTATTGCTGTGAAGAGACACCATGACCATGGACCCTCCTATACAGAAAAACACTTAACTGAGGCTGCCTTACAGTTTCAGAGGTTTATTCTATTATCATCATGGCTGGGCATGGTGGCATGCAGGCAGATATGGTGCTGGAGAAGGAGCTGAGAGTTCTACGTCTTGATCCACTTGCAAGAGGAAGTAAACTGTCCTGTACTGGATGTTGCTTGATCATAGGAGACCTCTAAGTCTATCCCCATAGTGACATACACCTTATACACCTTCAAAAGAGCCACACCTCCTCCAAAAAGGATAGACCTCCTCCAACAAGGACACGACTCCTAATGGTACCACTGTTTTTAGAAGACACATTCAAACACGTGACTCTACAGGACTGTTAGTTTCCACCTGGGCAGCAGCCTGCCTCTCCCGCCAGAGCAGTTACATCATCACTTGTCTCCAGGTTCCTTTCCTCTGTCAGCTATGTGACATGTGCACCCCTTAAAAGTGCCCACCAGACACTGTTGGCTCTCATACCTATTGCTCATCTCTCAACTGTCTTTTTCCTCTTGTTTCCTCCTTGTTCTCTCTGTCATCTGTTTGCATCTCTCATGTCCCCTCTCTGCCATGGCCCTTCACTCTTTGACTCTTTTCCTCCCACAATAAACCTCTTGAACTAACTGTTCTTTTTTTTTTTTTCGAGACAGGGTTTCTCTGTGGCTTTGGAGCCTGTCCTGGAACTAGCTCTGTAGTCCAGGCTGGTCTCGAACTCACAGAGATCTGCCTGCCTCTGCCTCCCGAGTGCTGGGATTAAAGGCGTGCACCACCACCGCCCCGCTGTACTAACTGTTCTTAATGTGGGCAATGTAAGCCTTCCCTGCAGCTTAGATCTATTCTCTTCAGCTATACGAACAATGTAAAGTGAATATTGCATCTTTAGCTCTGCCTCTGCAAGAAGGCGCAGTTCTGATGCTCACCACACCCTTGAGTTATGGCCTCGTTTCTGAGAGTAAAGCCATGTATCTTAGAACACCTATCTCCTCCGGAAACTTGTAAATGTGAGGACTTCCATGTGTTCCCTGTATTCGTCCTTCTAACCCATCCTGAGATGGATTCCCTGTTGTGGTGACCACCATTACTAAAAGTACGTGTTTTCCTGAAATCCATCTCAGCACCTGTCTTACCAACCACCACCCGTATCTAACAGTTATCTCTACACCCCGTGGCTGTGGTGCCCTGAAGACAAGGGCAGACACAAGAACCTGCTGACCTAGAGTAAGAAAGAAGACAAAGAGGAGCAGAGTAAACAACAGAGAACAGTTCTTTCTGCGGCCCTTGATGAACTTCAGAGCATCAGTGCGGACCCCATACATGGACCAGGTGGAACAGAGCAAAGGGAAGAAGGAAACAGCGGAAGGGCAGCCCCAGGGAGGATGAGTGCAGGCAGTACCAGGAGCAGAGAGTTCTCTCATGTGCCTGGGGCAAATGCACACAGAGCACAACTAGGCTCTCGCTGCTCAGGCTGTGGCATCAGTCACGGGTTTGTAACACGCCAAGCTGATGCTGAGTTTTGTTTGTGTTTTGTTAGAAACTGGCACAGTGTTAGCAGTGCGACAGAAACTGTTGCCGGTGGTGGCGGCGCACGCCGCCGGTAAGATTTGCTTAAGGAGGCAGAGGCAGGAGGATCACGAATTCGAGGCCAGCCTGGGCTACACATATTATAAAAATTTTAAAAGAAAAAATTATAAAATTTAAAAGAAAAGAAAAACACTGTTTATTCAGGCCTCTGGCATATGTTGAAAGATCATTTCGTCTGTGTTGTTTCCTAATGCAGAAGGCAACTGGAGTCAGACTATTTAATCTGAGTCAGCTCAAATTAAAGGTAGGTGATGTGGACTGAAATCTCAAGGTCCAAATCAGGAGCAGAAGGAGAGAGAGCACGAGCAAGGAACTCAGGACCGCGAGGGGCGCACCCACACACTGAGACAATGGGGATGTTCTTTCGGGAACTCACCAAGGCCAGCTGGCCTGGGTCTGAAAAAGCCTGGGTTAAAACCGGTCTCACTGAACATAGTGGACAATGAGGACTACTGAGACCCCAAGAACAATGGCAATGGGTTTTTGATCCTACTGCACGTACTGGCTTTGTGGGAGCCTAGGCAGTTTGGATGCTCACCTTACTAGACCTGGATGGAGGTGGATGGTCCTTGGACTTCCCACAGGGCAAGGAAACCTGAATGCTCTTTGGGCTGAAGAGGGAGGAGGGCTTGATTGGGGGAGGGGGAGGGAAATGGGAGGCGGCGGTGGGGAAGAGATAGAAATCTTTAATAAATAAATAAATAAATGATAAAAAAAAGTTTAAAAAAAATAAAGGTAGGTGATGTTCAGAGATGGAATGGGGTCTGAAGACATGGAAAGGGAACTCTCTGCC